AACCCCGTCCCTCTACCCCATGTCCTTCCAACTCCCACTCCATTCCTCTGGCCCCCTTTCTGGGTCAAGCTGTGCCCAAAAGTTGTCTCCACAGGCCACTCCCAGTTCCTCGCCTCCCACTCCCCGGCCAACCTCTCCAACCTTGCTTCTGCCCAACCTATCGCTCCACTGAAACTGTTGGCAAAGTTGCCAATGACTTCCATTTTGCCAAATCCATTGGTGACTTTTCCGGCCTTATCTCACGGCACACTCGTATGCATCGCCTTTTCCCTCCAGGCTCCTTAGGACGTGTCCGCCAGTCTCCTGGATTAAAATACCACCCCCTGGCTGACGATTCCCACATTTTCATCTCTTGCCTGGCCAGTCCTCTGACACTGGATGCTCGTATCAGACCGCTTGCTTAACATCTCATTGAGTCCAACAGGCATCTCAGATTCCAGGGAGCCCAAACAGAAACGGCGTGATTCTGCTCCCCTCCCTCTCCCTCTTCCCCATCTCAGCAAATAGCACCACCCAACTACCCAACTGCTCAAGTCAGAAACCTGTTATCCTAGATTCCTCCTCCCCAACCCCCACCAAGTCCATCCCCAAGCCCTGCCCATTCTACCTTCAATGTGCGTCTGGCACCCGCCTGCTCCCCTCCATTCACCTTCTGTCACCTCCCCCCTGCCCTGCTCCAACTGCCACAGCACTGTGCTCCCCAATTCCACACCCACCCCTCTCCACCAATGCATTGGGTAGGGGGTGTCCCTTCTCACTGTAATGGCTTCCCACTGCACTTCGGATGAAACCCAAACCTTTCAAGGCCCCCAGAGCCCTGCCTGGTCAGTCGTCTCTTGTGCCCTCTCTCCCTCCCGTTATCCACCCGCGCTTCTCTTCAATGGCCAAAGCCAAAGGCCTTCCACCCAGGCTGTGTGGTACCCTCTGCTTCTCCCACCCCAGTCCCCAGAGAGGCTCTCCTAGGCTGCTCTAGCTGAGTAAGTCCAGGTCACCGTTCCCTGGGGTTTCATCAGAGCATTTATCACATTTTGCAATATCTATTCCTTTACATGTCAACCTCCCCTCTGGACTGTAAACGAGGGAGAGGGGTGGGGGATGGGTAGAGGGAGATGATTATGTTGTTCTGAATTATCAACATATTCCCAGCGTCTAAACTTAGGGCCGAGCACAGAATGGGTGCTCAATGAGTAACTGCCGAATGTACAAATGAATAAACCAGTCAGCCATGGCATGAAAATAACTGTTACCGTCTATGAGCCTAGACTTATCGCTGCCATTTAGGCACACGGGTTCTTTTCCCCCCTTCCTCTCTATCAAAACACAAAACAAAAACGTTTTAATATTGCTAAACCAAAAGCCCAATAGCTCAGCATACCCCACCCATTCTCAGCTTGTCTTCCATGAGGAAAAAGCAAAAAGCATCCATTTCCTCAGTAAACCCCAATTAACCAGTAGGCCCTACAAGCAGCTGCCCAGAGAACTTGAAAATCCTTATAAAATACCACAGGGCCTTTTTGTTGTGTATTTTATTTAACCCAGAAAAAATAAAAACAGATTAAGAGAGCCATGGAATCAAACTCATGTTCTCAAGCCTGTATTATTCCTTAAAATGCCACAGTAGCCTCGCTGAAAAGCAGGCCAAGAACAGATCCAGCTGCTCTTGTCTCCCTCTTCCCCACAAAAGAAAGCAACTGTGTAATATCCTCTTTATTTTATTGGTTCCCCTTAAACATGCAAATTCAGAAATATTACTAATCCACAAGATCCTAGCTGATCCTAACCCTCTCTCCTCCCTAAATCACAGTTTCATGAGGTCAGAAATAAAATGAGCTGAATTCAACTGCTTTTAGAGCAGAACAATCAGCACAAATTTGTACTGCCTGGGGTCTGAGTCACTTGTCTGGATCCTTACTATACATGTGAATGTTCAAAGACAATAAAAACATCAAGAGCTTTCCCCCCAAAAAATGCCCACAGTGAAATATGAGATATCCCAGAAGCGACATTAATACAATATCACTACCATGAACCCTATGGCAAATATACCACCAAATTCCAATTACCCGAGTGTGAATTTTCCACAGACAGTGGGTAAAGCCACAACTAGGCTTTCTGGTCTGCTCAATTAACCTTAGATTTGACCAAGCATAATTAGACAGGTGAGCCAGCTGGTTGCAGGGGAAACTTCCAAGATGAACTGAAATTATTTTTGGTGCCACTCTCTATTAACACATATAATTGGGTATCAACCATGCCCCTTTTTTTCCCAAGACGGTCGGTGGCAGGCTTTCCTAAGTTTTTCCTTGCGTTGATGGTCAAGATAACCAGGCCACTCAAGAGTCTTTTTTGGAATGCCAAGGTACAACTCCACTCTCTCCATGAGAAGACAAAAACGGAAGTTAATCAACTCAGCACAAGTCCATGAAGCAATTTGGCCGTTGGCCCAGGAAGACACTGTCAAGACCTCCAGAGACTTCTCTGGAGAGCTCTCTCCACAAGACCAAATGACAGAACTTCAGACACAGATGTAACTCATGGATCAAACTGTGCGCTCCTAATTAAAAAAAAAAATCTGAAGTCCAGAAATGCTAGACACTGGACATTTCCCCCCTGCTGTGAGCATCAAACCACCTTAAAAGTTCTTGGTCACTTTTCAAATACTGTAAACTCGAGGCAACCACTGAATGCAAAACAACGTCAATACTTTCTGATTAATCAACTTTATGGAGAATCCTTATACTTTTCCCAAGCAAACAATGCTTTTGATTATTACGTCCAACCCAACCATCAAAGGATAGGAAAAAGAATATGATACATAAGCTTTGCTTTTGTGATCACACACTTTATTATATAAGCAGCAGTCCCCTCCCTTATCATTAATGCTCCTACCTCAACAAAAACCACAGGCCCAAGCGGGTTAAAGGAAGCCAAACGGAGTACTTTCCACACAGTTCATAGAACAACTGTTTTCACAGCAAGCTCACATAAATGCTATGTGATATTAACACACGCCTGCTATGTGGAAGCCTGCTTCCCAAGCTGTGAAAAGACTCGTGTTTACTATGGAACCTGCAAAATTAATCTTCTCAATGCCCATAAAGCAGACGGAAGCGCTCTTTTTTTGAGATGTCAAGCTGGCTTCTCAACAAATCTTTGGCAAAAACGGACATGCCTAAAAGGGCGGGGCCCAAAGAGCTGTGTCACTCCCTGTATCAATGCCTATAAATCAAATCCTGACAATCACCACGATATTTTTAAAAGAATGAATTATGATTCATGGGCCTTCAAACCTTTATTACCACAAGAACATTCCCAGCAGAAGAGAAAAAAAAGCTACTGTGACTTGATTAATGGCCAAAGCAAGACAATAAAATAAATCTCATAACTATAAGAATAAAAAAAAAAAAAAACCTGAATGACTGCTCTTGGCTTCGAGGGTAGCCATGTCAATAATTCCACTATCCTGGGATAAACACACATAAAGATTGTGTTTACCTTCCCAGCAATAGACACCGCCAGACGCAGACTTTCAGCAGGGGAAAATTAATAGCTTTAACGAATGCCTAGTTAGGAACATTTGATAAATGGCAATATTTATTTCCCAACTAACTCAGCTCTCAAGCTGCCAAATAACCAATTCTCAATCTGGAAATCTGATAACAGGAAGGAAAGAAAGCACTGTCCATCCGTAACACGTAGAGAAATATTTTTAAACCCATTATTTCCCCTGCTAGAATTGAGCCCGGCTACAGAACTGCAGAAAGCTTAACCAACTTTAGTTAACCACTCTGCCTAGTGTTTACTCCCTGACCCTACTAAGCATGTCTGGGTTTGAACCTCTGGTGCTAAAATTATCCTGGCAAAGTTAAAACTCCCAGCATAATCCAGGTACCTGACAGCCAAGACCTACAACCACCCATCTGCAGAAACCAGCAGGCTGAGTACCAGGAAAACAGGCAGGGAGGAGCAAAGACGGCTGGTTAACTGGTAAACCGCTGAGTACTATTGCTTGTTATCCTTCCAGTGGGCACCAAACCCCATGGTCGGTCGCCAGACTGCTTTCTTGAAACGGTTAATGATGCCGAAGGTTGGTACCAACTGGGACAACCGAAAACTCCTTTCTTAACGCTCTGCTCCAAGGCCTGCTAAAAAGCGCACCCACCCGGCCCGGGAGGCATTTTTTTTAAAGAACTCCTTATAGCCATCCCTGGATCCCTCATTCCTAAGCATCACTTCCATGCACTTCCCAAGACAGCCCAGGCCACGCTGTTAGCAACCGGCTTCAACACGTACTTTCACTTGCCAGAGCCGCCGGGTCTGGGAAGTTTCCACAAAGCTGGCTCTCGCAGGCCAGCCCAAGACCCACGGAGGAACCAGAATGTCATTTTCTTTTCACGTAAGGATGGCAGGCGCACATGCCCCAGCCCAGGGCTGACCGGAGGCCACGGGCCAGGTGCTCTCGGCCTCCGTCAGTGAACGGGTGGTTTTCTAATATCTATTTATTTAGATCACCAGCAACAACTCCCAAACTGAAGTTAAGACTGGAGGGGCAGGTTTACCCCCCACACATTTCCCTCGCCTGGGTGGCCACTTTTAACTTCTGGTGGGTACTCGGGCCCCCAAAGAGCCCACAGGCGCATATATATACATATATGCATCATGTCCAAAGCCCCAAAAGGCACATCCCTAGGGTCCTGCAGTTTCTTGGCTGGAAGAATGAAGGCTTTATAGCATCACACCCTTCAAGTGCAAGCCCCACCACCACCCTTTAAGCCCGATCTGCCAATTTTAGCGCCCCTCGCACCCCTCCCCCTTTGCTGGGATGCCGTGCAGCACCGAGAGGAAAGAGGGAAGAAGGGAAGCAGAGAGAAGGCCCGGTTAACATACTGAAAGTAAAGAAGTGGGGGGGAGACTTTTCCTTCCCCTCCCCCATCTCCTCACTGAGCATCCCCCCCAACTAATTTTTTTAAAAAATGAAACTTAATAAGCTTCTTGCCTACCTTGGCTGTTTCTGCAACAAGTGCATGGGCAATCCGACAAGAAGACCAGTCTCCGCTTGGGGGGGTGAGATGGGGGAGAAGCAGAGCTGATGGAGTAATTTCAATATTAATTTATGTCAGAGCCGCCTTCTCGAAGCGCTACTCACTTACAGTACTGCCCTCAGCCAGTAAACAAATATCGCTCCGCCAGGAAACATACTCCCCAGATGCAAGCCCCTCTCCCCAGCAGGGAACCCGGCCCTGCATCCCCCACCCCCACCCACCAGCGTGCTCCCCAACCCCGGTAGGAAGCTCAGCGTTACCAAAGCACCAACCCACCACCTCCGCCACCACCCGAGCAAGAAACTTACTCGGTCCGTCTATGCCTCCACCCTCCCTTCAGGAAATCTACTCTCCATATGCATTCAGCCTCCCCGCAGGAAATCTGCTCCCCCCCTCCCCCCTTCTATATACATGCACCCCTCCCTCTCCTCCTCCCCACTCGCCCTCCCCGGCCAGAAACTTACTGGCGAGCAAGCGTGCAGGCTCTCCTGATCCTGGAAACTTACTCCCAGAGATAGCGCCCGCCAACCCCCTTCCCGGCCCTGCTCCCCTTCCTGCCCTCCGCCGCAAGCAACTCCAAACTCTCCGCATCCAGCCACTCTCCCTCCCCTGTGGAAATTTGCAGCGCGGGGCCGCGCGCGTGCATCCACCCTCCCCTTCAGGAAACTTACTCCCCGTCTGCATGCACCGCCTCTCAGCCATCGCTTAGGGAAGGGGGTGTGCTAAGAAGACAGAAATACATATGTATCTCTCGCCCCTCCCCCGGCCGCAGCCCACTCGGGGCCGAGCCGCGGTAACCTGGCCTTACCTTTTGCATTGCTCCCCATCCTCGCCCCTCCCTTAACCCTTCTTATCTGCTCCCCGGCGCCCCCCTTTTTTCACCCTTTACCCACCCCTAGCAACCGTTCCCAAGCTCCTCTCGGTCTTTTTTTTTTTTTTTTAATCCAGGATGCAAATTCCTCCCCTGTCAGCAAATCGACTGTCAAATTATTTTCTTGCAAAAGGAGAAAGGCGGGGTGGTGGTGG